TTTTCTTACTCTTCCATTTTTATTACCTAAAATGCATAAAAGGTCTTGTGCATCGCCAGTTGGTAACAATTAATTTTGATGTTTATGTTTCTTATTTGTAACGAAGAAGATTTTTATCACTAACTAAAGATAAAAAAATTTAAGAAAGTAAAAGTAAAGGAGGAAGAACTGAAACTCAGAGGATTTAAAAAGGCAATACATTCTTAAGTAATTCATCAGTAACGTACGTTGTTAATTTCGAAACACAGAGATAAGCGATAAATAGCGGGAGCATTTCTTTTAACTTAAAGAATGTGTAATAATTTGGCCATTCTATAGCTGAATGTCATTAAACAAATTAAGATACTAAATATAAGCTATTCAAGAAAGGTGTAGTTAAAGTTACAGCTATTCAAGAAAAAATTATCAAAGTTTTGTTTTTGGAGCTAACCTTTGTATTATTGCAGAGAGAGGCTAGACTGTGATTGGTACCGTCCGTTTCATATCTACAAATTAATAGCGCTGAGATAAACGATTAGCTTAAATATTCTTTGTAAAGCAACGAGAGCTTAAAAATCCAAAACTATGAAAAATCTGAATGAAAGAGTATTTGTACAGTGCTAGAAGATTATTGTGTTACTTATTTAACTATATGGGACACCGCAATAGAAATTAATTATTAAAATTAGACTTGCATATTTAGCTCTCAGATAACAACGATAAAATATATATTTTGTTGCTAGTTGAGAAAATTCCTACCTGCATATCTGCAACTGAACGTTTGCTTCAGTTTGTTCAAAAATATGTCTTCTCTTCCAATGAGATTTAAACATAAGAGATTTTTGGTTAATTATGGAATCATGTTTGCAGATTTTCAATTTCAAGGCTGCTAATGCAGAAGAGTTTTTGATTTATATTATTACCATATCGCCCTCGGATTCTCCATTGATCCGTTGAACCAACAGGCCAATGTTAGTAAAACAAGAAATTATGTAAGGCATATTACATTCCATCATGCTTGTTTTTGTAGTGTAAATGGTTAGTACTTTTGACTACCAGTTGGAAAATTCGTTGTTCGAATTCAGACTATAATAGAAGGGATTACTTGCATTTACCGGTTTAGAAAAATTCAGTAGTTTCTACAATAGCGTGCGAAATAAATTTGTCATAATGATAACCAGTGATCATCCGGATTTGAATGACTAGGTTTCATGCCTTTTCAAAATCACCATTTGAAGAGGTGAGACTAGTGTACATCCACCTAGTATCTACCATTGACACAGCTGAATTTTCAAGTGAGTAACCACTGAACTGATTAGGTTTCTTATGAAACCGCTAAATACTGGTAGTTTGACTTGTGTTCGAATCTGAAATAGTTGGCATCCTGATCAAGGAAAATATTTGCTTCCAAAGGCATTTTCAGGTTTTTCCCTAAACGTAACATGAACTGGAGCCAGGCCAGTTTGTCTATGAGCCTTTTTCATTTGTCTTCTTAGAATAAGGGCTTCTGTCTCCTTAGGCTTCTTAGACCCTTGTCTTCTTTCCCATAACCACTTAAATAAACAAACCAACATCCAGGTCGCACCTGGAAGATCTATGATTTGAACACAGTGAGGGTACAACAAATAATTCTTCATTCTCTGCCCTGCCAAAAATGCCCCATAGAAACCCATAATTTTTTTACGGGCAATTGGCCTACTTGTACGCGTGCAGTTCTGCGGGTACCCGTAGGCCAAATCCCCGTAAAACCCCATAGAAAGAAACCCGTACAGGTACCTGTAGGCCAAATCCTCGTAAAAACCTATAAACAGAAACCCGTAGGCCAAATCCCGATAAAAGCCCATAGATAGAAACACGTAGAACTGTATGGGTACCATAAACGAAATCCTTGCAAAAACCCATAGCCCGAAACCAAAACTTTATGTGTATCCATAGGTCAAATATCCATAAAAAATGGATTTTCCGTAGGTCTCTTCCCCATAAAAAATCCAGTAGGCAAACCCCGTACACCTATATGTACCCATAGGCCAAATCTCTGTAAAATAGTAGACAAAAACTTATAGACCTATACGGATACCCATAGGCAGATCTCTGTAAAAGCCAATACACAAAAGTATACAGACTAATAAAGGCACCTCTTTGGCAAAATTGCTGCACAAAACCCATAAACAAAATCAACAGAATTATACTGTAGTAGAGTATCCATACACACAATTGCACATAGAACGGCTATCCATACGCAGAATCCCTATAAAACACAATACAAAAAAATAGAACTGTAGATGAAATTTTCATAAAACTAGCAACTATAAGCCTAAACCAGCAAAAGTAACACAGTTAGCACTGATGAAATGTGCAGAACTAAATAGGAAAAAGCATGTAAAGTAATTTTAAATAAAATTCAATGCGAATAAACTTAATAAAATTTTATAAATATCTAGAAGCCTAGAAGCCCCTGTCCTTCTATATACATGTCAGCATCTATAAACATATTAGAAAATATTTGTATAACATCTTGATACAAAATTTTAAACTCCCTTTGTATAATTTTGAAAATAAAATTAATAGTAAGATAATAATCAAAGCCGTGATTCACAACCATCGAATGATATATAAAACAAGTTTTAAAACATTTACAAGACGTAATAAACTCGATTCTCAACCACAGTTCGGTAAATTAAATATAAATTCCTATAGAAAAAATAAATAAAAATACCATTTACGTATATATATATATATATAATTATGATAATAATAATAATTTATGAATTTAACAATAATTTATGATTACAAAAGGTTTTTCATATATCATCTCCAAGGAATATAAATTTAATTAAAGCTATGAATTATTGGAATAAATTTGAGTTAATGTTTTAGGTATAAGTTATTAGATTTCTATTGTAGAAAAAAATACTGTAAAAACTTTATAGAAATACTATTTTGAACACTAGAAATACTAAATAATAAAATTATTTAAAGTACTGAAAAGGTAGCTATTATTATTAACCGTAGATTAAATAGTATAAAAATGCCACTTCGTGCTAAGCATGTCCTGCATTTATACTGCCAAATGAAATTTATATAGTGCAGGCCCATGGGCTTCAAAAAGTCTCCAAAATTGTATTCAAAACAGTCAGGGAATAATAAAGTAATATAGCTCCATTATCGTAATAATACCACCTATAGGTATTATTACGATAATGGAGCACATAATCCGACACATAAAATTTGTACTAATTTCCGTATCTTCAAATCGAAAATATTCAATATCTACCTAAAGAAATCGCTTATTCATATGGCAAACTGTTTCACTACACTAAAACTCTTCTTACTAAAGACGACGAATTTTAAGGTTTCTTCTAGGAAGATTATCCACAATGCTTCTTTTGCCTTTCCCAATTTGCTGCTCTTTCTTGTAACTTGAGGTAAGAAGCGCATAAATTCCTGACCATCTAAAGTAAAAACCAGTTTTGATTTGGTTTGCTTAATTATGGCAAATCACACAAAGGCTTTCTGCCTAAGGGTAGAACTGCCTTCCTGGAAAACTTCCTGAGAGAAATTGGCTCGCATACACGTTAGAAGCGGGAAAATCCGCGAAAACGCCCATGTATCCCGTTCGCCTGGAAACGAACCAGGTCGAAACTACCAGTATTCAGCGACTTTACTACTCGGCCGTTGTTAGACCCCTAACCAGTTTTGGAGTCTTTAAAAAACAAAATAAAATTGAATGCAATGTTTTTCATAAGAAAATATTGCTTTAATGTTTTTTTTTTTTTTTTTCTGTAAGAAATAATCATACTTGATTTGTAGTAAATGTTCTAATCGATCAGAACATCCATTTACAAATTCATAGATCAATATTCTTGTTAGAACACTTAATCGTAAGCAGAATCTCAGCTTTAAATCCAAAGCTAACATATTGCTGAAAAGTGTTATTCAAAAAGATGAAATTTAGGGAAGTTATTGGTAAAACACTCATACTTGGATCCCTACAATTAATATCTGTTCTTTATCCTTTTTATTTTCTGTTCTTTATCCTCTTTCATGTATTAATAACGATTAATATCATTTCTGATCTTCAAGCATCAAATTATTCTTAACGAGGCTTAAGAATAGGGAAAATAGTGGGACTGGCATTTATTTCTTTTCTTAAAGCAAACTTATGAATAACATAGAAGCAAACTACCATAAAGCTCATAATATTTAAAATGCATACACTGCTCATAAAAAGTTTATATTATGAAATTTATTGTTTAATGCTAAATGCCAGCTTATAGTAATGATACGAGCTCAGAGTTCTTCATAAATAAATTTATACACAAAAAAAGAGATTTTTTTTCTTAATAAAGGTTAACTGGTGTAAGTAATTGCTTTGACCTATACTTACAAACTGGAACAGCAGTTTCAACAGATCAATTCTGTAAGCAAGTAGTCACCTTCATTTGAAACTGTACATATAAAAGAATTATACCAACAATATCTCTGTTGTGACAGCATTCTTAGAGGTAGAGATTTTTTTCAGAAGAAAGCTATTAAAACCACTAACATAATTTTAACAAAAAATAAAGTAAACAGCTATTCTGTTATTTGGGATGAAGTGTTGAACAGTGTAAGCCGAAGGTCTGTGTCTACGTGATAAAACTGATTCCATAGTAGATTTATAAAGTAGGAGAATGACCTCATTTGAATATTTTGGGTCTGCGCATCTTAAGATACGTGATATGTTTAGTATTTTCCAAAAAATACTGGGAGTACCTTGAAACATGGAAGCTTCCCACTAGTTACAGCATGCGTAATCCCGATAATTCGCCTATGGAGAACATCGTTGTCTTGTATAAATTAAGTCATTTCTATACTTGAACCTTTCAACGTGGTTATACAATAGTGTAAAAAATAAAACACATTTGATTAACTTCTAGAAAGGACAAAAAGCCTTCATTTAGCTAATTCTAGTATGGATAAAACAGGTAATTGTTTATTTACTTTTCGAAATTTTGCAGCCATATTGTCAGCTTGACCTCCAGGTCTTAAGCGACACGTACATCAGTGACGTAAAATATTATGCTCAGTAGCTCAGGTTTTAAAAAGCGCATCTTTTTTACAGATCCGGTATTATTCGACAAGCATTCAATCGTCCTAGTCAGGTATTTTGTGGTAAGAATCAAGTTTCTTTTAATCATTTAATGTAATATGTTTCCCATTTCTTGTGAATTTTCTGAGGACTAATACTTATATGGAAAAAGAGTTATTTAAGTATCATATTAAATGAATTGTTATTTCTTTAATTTATGAATAGCTTCTAACTTCTGTGCTTGTTTTCATACATACCTGTGCATTAAAAATTGCAATTTACATACAGTAATTTTAAAAACAAATATTTGCTTTTTTCTTGATCCATATAAAATAATTGCACTGAGTGGATTTTTTTAAAGCATTAAATATTTGAAAATATATCTGTTTTCTACATTTTACATAACAGCACATTATACACCATTTAAATCCATAGAATTTTTAAAAGCTATAAAACTCTGAGCTTCATAACACTCTGAACCACTTAAGTAGAGACATAAGTTAGAAAAATTACTGAAGGCAACTGTCAACATATCATCATCTTTCAATGTTATGATGTGTATATTAAAAAAGCATTTTGGAAACTTAGATTTGAATATTCCAGTAAAAGATTTCTTTCATACAGTCATGCAATTTTTCTATAGTACGTGCATTTTGCATTTTCGGAAATATTTTTGTTCATTAAAATATCCTTCGAAACTTTTATTTTATCCAGTTTTAGTACTAATAAAGAATACATTAATTCGAAGTACGAATAGTTTAAAATGTTTTATTCAAATCTTGCAAATATTCCTTCGAGATAATTATTTTTTCCCTTAGCAAGATTGCTTAATGCTTTCAAATATTCCATTTCTAATTTTACATGGGATGCTTTTGAATATTCTGCTTCTAATTTTATTCATAAAAAATATGCGATTCTTATATTTTCACCTACTTTATATTTTGACATTAGCAACATCCTTGTCGAAATCTTTCAAACTGTTTAAGCTTTTTAATTGCAACACCCTACTATTAGCATATATCCATTCACCCTATCAAGTGATACCACTGCTCAAAGCAGAACTTTAAATTATTTTATACACTTTGCATATAATCAGTTTTCAGAGTATCCCATTGGGTATAACAAAGATTTTTAATCTGTTTCTCAAATTTGATCATTTACAATTGTTTAACTCAAAGAATTATATAAAGTCAATAAACGCATCTAAAAAAATTTAATCTGAATTTTATGTTTAATAGTAATGATTTAAATTTTTAACAAATTCTAAATATATTTTTATAAACTATAATCTAACTTACATAAATTAAAACATATTATTTTAAAGGCTAAAAAATATTTCGCCATATTACATATCGGTACTGATGAATAATATGCAGATAGGAACATTTTGGAACTTTATTTTATAAATGTCTTTATTTACAAATAAAAATATTTCGGAATTTTATTTTAGAATATTCTTTACTCCCAAATATAATTTAGCTACGACTGTAACTAAATTATGCTTTATTGTGGTACGAACTTTCCTTCTGTCAAATGTTTTTTAAATCCTTACAGTGTAAGATTGTAGTTCCGAATATATACAATATCCAAAGGAATTCCGTATGAATTTTAAAAAACAGAAACTAATTTTATTACAGATACCAAAAGAAAAATTACATGAATCTAAACTTTAATAATTACGAGAATTTAAAATTAGCTTGACCGCTGTTTCCCATATAAGTTTTCGAATTATTAAGGAAGAGTAACAGAGCCTTCTCTTTGCATGCAGTATCATATTGGATACAAGTGAGTTCATTCTTTGTTCATTGAAGTGAATTAATAAAAACCTCCCGCTTTCATTGCTGTCTGATAGTTTTAAATAAAAATTTTATTTCTAAGACTATTTAAAATATTATATTCCGATCTGTTTCTATTTTTACTCCATTTCTGTGAGCAAATGAGGCTAACTGACTATCATAAAGTGACTGGATTCTTGCCTTTGTATATTTATAACACCGACTTGAGAGCAAGCTATAATTTGGAAAATAATTGATTAACGAAATTATGCCCTTTATTTGAACTTGGTATATATTAAATTGTAATTTAATATATTTTGCTTTCTTACTGTTTTCAATGATGTAAATACCATCTTAATGAATGGACGTTTATGAAAACAGATACTAAAATAATTAATTATACAAACTTAGCTAGTGAATATTATTTAAATACTGGTCTTCAACAGCAGATTCAAAACGTCTTGCCAGACAGGGGGTTAACAATAAAAAATTTTAATGCGTTTCGAGAGATAAAACAACAGTCTCTCGTTATACTTGCTTTGTTCCTCAAAATGAGAGACAACTATTGAGTCTCTTGAAATAAATTCAGCATTTTAAAGACTAAGTAAAGCCCATCTGTTAGTTGTGAACGATTTTTATGCATGTTGACATTATGAATAAATGAAATTGCATCAATATTATCAATCCATGTGAATCCAAAAATTCAGATCTTTCTGAAAAATTGTCGTATTGATATAAAATGTTTTTAGAAGATTTATGCCAGCTACGTGTGATTTGAATAACGGCAAACTGGCTAACTAGTTCCATGCCTTTTTAATTATTCCATTTTTTACAAAACACATCTAAATCTTTCTATAGTTAATTGAATTTGTCTAAATTTTAAAATAACAGATCTAAATTCCCAAAATTTGTGATCTGAATATACTTCATTCATAGCTCACGTAGTATGCTTTTTTAAAAAAAAAAATTGTACATCCTATATTTTTATTAAATCTGCACTAGCAAACGGATTTTCATTTACCTTCAGGATTTCTTATTAATTAAAATGCTCAAATTATAATTTATGCCTCTGTAATAAATCAGCAATGGTTATTAACGCAACACAATATAAGATTATATCATACGAATGGATTATCTTTTAAATTAAAATCACTGCATTTTCAAAATTATCGATTTATAGAAAAAAAAATTAATTAATTAATTATACATAAATACATTGCATATATGATTTTTAAATGCATTTGCATTCATATAATGCATTTTCACCTGATTATCAGATATTATAAAAATTAGCAAAATTACATAATTTAATTGCTTTTTTTTAGCTCTCATTTATTTTTGCTTAGTTTCCATGATAAACATAATATCCAAAAATAAATGAAGAATTTTCCAAAATCCGTTCTTTGATTAATGCTGAATGAATTAATTTTTCTTCTAAATTAATATGAATTTTATGCACTGCATTAATAAAGTAGAAAACATAGAGAAATGTTTTTTATAATGAAATCGATTTTAAATTAAATTCTAATAAAATTAATTTATTAGATTTCAATGCAATCGAATTTTTGAGTACATTGCATTTTGCTTCTTTATTAGCACAAAAGTAGTAATGAATAATTTGAAAAGGAAATGTGAACTTTAAAAACACTTAAATACTTAAGTTCTTAACAAGCATTTACTTGCTCTCTTTTAATCAAAAAATTTCGCTTATTATTTATGACACTTTGAAAAATCGCAAGATTGGAAAAAATTAATTTTTTCCTATCATTATTTTTCAGTTAGAATCATTAAACTACTCACTCACCAATAAAATGTTTCATAATTAATCATAACATTTTATTAAATATTTCTTTATAATTATTGTGATCATTTTCTTAAATGAAATTACGATATATTACAATCGCATCTCCTGGTACTTCTACCAGGTATCTAGCGAAACTATTTTTGGCGGAATGCTAAAATTCAAAATTTTCTTGTAATTAAACTTATTTTTTAGAGTTAGGCAAACCGCTCTTTTATGGATCAGATCAGAACCGTTCGCTCACTGAACTAAATCGATTCGTTGTCATGACTAAATGCTCACCAGCAATAACCCATCCTGGTGCTTTTCGAATCACATACGTAAACTACGAACCGTATGACACTTCGCATTATTTTGCTGATAGATGCCATAATTCTGAGGAAAAACAATTCGCATGTAGGAGTGGACATGGTCCGCAAGAATAAATGCGTATTTCTGTTGATCCATTGTGCCTTCTACAATGATGAATGCACCCAGAGAATGCCACGGAAACATTCCCTAGACCATAATGCTCCCTCCTTTGCTTGGACCCTTCTGGCAATTGTTGCAGGGTTTTTGCTTTCCGACGTTTCATGCCAACATCCATCAATCCGATGGAGCATAAAATGTGATTCATAGGAAAAAGACACCTGTCGCCACCCAGTGGATGTACAGTTACGGAACTGGCGTGCAAATTCCAGTCTTCGTCGCAGATGAACTACAATCAGCATAGATGCTTTAACCAGGCATCTGCTGCGGAGGCACATACGCAGCAACGTTTGCTGAACCGTCGTTGAGGAGACTTTGTTGGTAACCACTTGTTTCATTTGGGCTGCCAGTTGTTCAACGGTTCCCCGTTTTATTCGCTAGAACGCATCTCCGGAGCCGTCGTTCACCTTTGTGATCTATGGCTCATGGTGCACCACATTCGCCACCTGACTGATTTTGGATAGTGTCATTTTGCCATGCACGGTATACTTTTACAAAGGCGGCACGCGAACTGTTTAAAAAATTAGCCCATTTCGGAAATGCTTCCACCCTTGGCCCGAAAGCCAATGATCATGCCCTTTTGGACATCAGAATTTAAATCGTTTAATTTTAATCATTAGAATTTAAATAGCTGTGCCCTTTTAAATAATTCCGTTTCTGCATTACGCCAACGATTGCAATGTTTCCTGATTCTGTCGGACAGCCTTTATACACGATCCACCGCAATGTTGTGTCACCTGCCTTCTGTGATTAGTTATTTGACATTTACGTCGAAAGTAGGTAGTGGTCACATTAATGTGACTGGACTGCCATTTTACGTATTTAGCATTTTCATTTCTAAAATTTATTGTTCACATTTTGCGTATTATAATTTTTTTGCGACGTATTTCGGAAACAGAAATAAGTACAGTCCAAATATTCTTACAGATTCGTTATGTTATTTGATCTCGACTTTTTAAATTCATTTAAAAATTAAGCAGCACTAGGTGCTAATTTTGAACTTGTTAGTTCATTCGTAATTTTTATAAAATGAACTTAA